GTTGTTGTTGGCTGTGCATGGACCACGGCTGCGCCTAAGGATCGCCGCAGGTTGTTGAGCGGCCGCGGTCAGACTAGGGAGAGGTGTTGAAACTTGGAGAGGTGTTCAGGCTGGGTAAGTAGGGGGGGTAGGGTTGCGATTTGGGAGGTCGTCAGAGAGTTGAGTTCGGCAGTTTTACGTCAGGAGTTGAAGAAGCAGTCGGTTGGCTGCCATTGCGGGCCCCTCAGGCGACTGAAGATAACAAGGCCCTCTCCGGCGAGTCTGAGAGCACCCTCCTTGGATCTGAGAGACTCAAATCCCCTGCTTCTACCCTTTTTACTCTAAGTCTAGTCTTTTGGTTCTGAGAGGAAGGCGCAGGCGGGATTGCAACCCATAATCCGCGCCAAGGCCTCTGTGGGAGGTTCGCCCCACCGATTGCGGGAGCTCTGTCGGGACTCAGGAGGAGTCATGGAGGCAGGGAACTGAGCGATAATTCCGTGGCTCCCTCTATAAACCCAGTTATAATCCCTATCTGTATCTCCTATTGTATCACTGACTGAATATATGGAGTGCAGCCCTACGTTATTTTTGGTTTGACCTTCAAGATACTGGATCAGACTAAGTAAATGAATGATTGTTAAGTTTCAGTTTCAGCCTTGTTGATTGTATAAAAGCAGATTGTCAGAAAAAATTGCATTTGGGAAAGGCAGGATGGTGGGTTGATTTGCGTAATGGTTGGCTGGGTCATTAAGGCTGAGAGGTCCCCATAAGTTTGGGGAAGCCCAACGCTTTGTTTATTTTTGGATTGCATGGAGCATCAGACCGCTGTATAAGTTTAGGTAGCCTGGATGCTCTGAAGGCTGGGAAGTCCGCATAAGTTTGGGGAGGCCCGGTGCTGTGAATTGCATGGAGGGTCAGGACGCTCTATAAGTTTAGGTGACCTGACTGCTCTGACTTGGGAGTGTTTAACTGTATTTGATTTTCAGGGGCTTAAAGCATTCAATAAGTTTTTGTGCTTTGAGTTGCCTTGTTTTTTTTTGGGTTTTCTCAGTTTCTTTGGTTTCTGAACGAGGGGACTGAGCTGCTCTATAAAATTAGGTGGCTCAGTTTCTTCCTACATTTATTTTAAAGGAATGGACCTGACAAAGGGGCAGGCCCTTCTGTAAGTTCAGGGGGTCTAACCCAATGCCACACACAAGAAGGCTCAGAGAGAAAGAAATCAGGTGGAGAGGCAGACTCTTCTGTAAGTTCAGGGGGTTTGACTCGAAGCGTCGCACATGCTGGAGCCCAATGGTTATAATTTGGCTATACCTTACTATTATTCTATTTAAGAACGAGCGAATCAGATCATTCTATAAGTTTAGGTGGTCTGACTAAAACCTATCACAACTTGAAGAGAGTATAATTAAGAATAAAACCGATGGTAAACTGGGGCAGGCTGAACTTAAGTTAGTTCAATCATATGCAGCCTTAGAAGACAAAGGGGAAGACAGGTATATATAACCCGGATACTTTAAACAGTTCAGGGCGACTAGAGAAGTTTAGTCTCGTGCCCAAAGAAGAGAAGAGTAGTTGTGCACTTTGTTTGTGTATACTTGATTGAGTCAGAATGCTCTATAAGTTTAGGTATTCTGACTTTAGGTCTGGCTAAGTTGGACGCGCTCTGTAAGTTCATGTGGCCTGACCTATGCCTTATGTAAGCAGGGTATAAAGGGTTAAATCATTGAGAGATCATGAACTATTGTTTGTTCAGGTTGACTAAGGGATGGCGAGAGTACTTACCTTTGTGGTTTGGCCTGCATGTGACTGAGGGAGGCTACTACTTGGTCTGAGTTTCAATTTGATAGGTAGTCGCTTTAGTCGATCGCCACGTGCTGGAGCCGTTGGAGTTAGTTTCAATTCCTGCATTTTCTGAGTTAAGTTTTTTTTACTTAGATCAATTCTCGCATTTTCTGGGATCATTTTTTTACTTGGCTTTGTATAAATCTTGACAAGCTACTTTCTCTACGGGAAGTGCTGCCGAAATTTCTGCAAAACTAAGGAGTTAGTTAAATCCTGTCTAAATTGAACTCGAGTTGTTTTTTGAGTTCATATCTGACTTAGTATAAATCTGGGAAGTGTCCGTTTCTAAAGGGAGTGCTGTCTAAATTTTTACTAATTCAGGGAGTTTGACAAAATTGGACTTTCAAGAGTTAAATATTATTTCTGCTTCTATATTTGGACTTATATAAATTCTGAAAAGGCATTTTTCCTACGGGAAGCGCTGCCAAAATTTTCTTAGTTTAGAGGAGATAGATTATATTTTGACAGGTGGCGATTTTGATGATCCACCCTGAATAGGGCAGATCCTGCCATTAGTCTACCTTTGCTTTAGGCACCGGCTTAGAGGTAGGCTTGGACTCAGTTGGCAGGTAACTTCGAGTGAGAATGTGCTATGGAGGTTTATTCCCCATATGCTGATGATTTAGCTTGGGCATTGACCTTTCTTATGGTACAGGCCTTTCTTGGACATTCGATTCAGGACTTTGACTAGTTTCAGCCTGATCCCACGAGGATCATCTTCTGTTATCACTGATAACAGGTCGGTTGCCGATTCGTCGGTTTACGATTCAACTCCAACTCACTCCTGCCACCCAACCTAAAGGCTTTAGCCTTGTGATTGAACTGTTTTGTTGTGTTTTCACCCGGGCTTTATTGAATGGTCATCCAATAAAAGTACTGAGTGTTTATTTAAGAGTTGCACGAGTGACGCTTGTATGGCTAAAGCGAGGGGTATGAGTGCAAGGAATGGTTGAAGTTGACCCCGTGCAGTGTGTGGACTTCTGGATGAATCTTTAATGTGATTGCAGGTATGGTTGTGGTTCGGCTTCTGGATGTGGCTGCCTGTGATTACATACATATATGGCTGAGAGGAGTCCCACTGTGACTGTGAGAAGTGATCGTCCTATATAAATAAGCCTTATATATATATATATATATATATATATATATATATATATATATATATATATATATATATATATATATGTGCCTTGGGTATGTGCGCGGCCTACTGAGATCGTGTGTCAGGGTTAACCAGGTTATGATTTAAGAGAAAAGGGAGATCCCTTTTATCCTTTGTTTTTTGGAAGATTTTTATAGTCGGACGTTGGTCCTGGGCCGGGATTCAAGGTCCTTGTCCACGACATCCCAAGCCCTAGACTCTGCAGGGAAGGAATTTGCCCCCGTGCAGAGCCTATTAGCCTTGCTTACCGAGACGCTCAGACCAAAGGTCGGAGGTCCCGTGGCGGCTGCACGACTATTCCTTTAGCCGTGCAATGTTGTGAGGGATTAGACCCTCACGACACTTCGAGTCTGACACTTGAGTGTCATAAGCGGTACTCGGATCCACGAGAGACCGCCTGATTATGGGCACTACATAGTACGCCATTATTGCGACTGCTTGTGCACGTTTGCATTGCGAGTCAAATGCGAGTAGGCCCTGCGTCCACGCGGTTTTATACTGAGTCTCGTGTGTGACGCCTATCTGATTTCCGCATTGGAAAGTTATGGGTTGGCTACCGAGGGGCTAGGAGCGTTGTCGCGTTGTTTGTGTTGTGTTGTTTTGTGTGTGTGTGTGTTTTATTTTTGTGTTTGTAAAGTGGTGTGCGCGTGGCGTGTGGGATGCGTCCTAGTCGACCGACGACGAGCCGCGCTTGGGACCCCAGCCCCCCAAGATGTCGATTCGCGTGCGGGTCCGATAGGCGTATTACCACTCTTACCCCCTATGCTACAGCGAAAGAGAAACGCCCTCGGCTGGTCCACCTCTGCGATTGCAACTGATTAGCTTTCGTACTGTGGACTGGTAGCTCGGCAGGGATACGCCCACCGAAGGGAGGTGACAGCTCTCGTAAGGTGGAGGTAAGTTGTGCCTCGCGTAAGCCCTATCCTGTCGTAGGGGCTCGCGAGAGGTATGGCTGGAGCACTTGGCCGGAGCGGCCTAAGGAAGCTCCATTGGTGTGTTCGCGACGAGGTTGGTCCAACTCCTGCATGACGCTGCCGAGAGGGTCCCGCGCTGCCGCGTGAGGTGCCGGACCGATGCGCTCGAGAGCGTGGACGCGGGAATTCTCCCAAGGAGTGAGCTATCCGCCATATTTGGGAGGTTGAGAGAGTTTGAGGGACTCTGATCCCTCGTCGCGGACGTTCCGTACGCCCGCCTCTTCGGAGAAGAGCAGGTGTCTAACCGGCGGGGTTTCGAGGGCCGATTATAAGGGGGATCCCGAGGACTCTTTGGGCGTCCATAGAGCCCATAGAGGATACCGGGGAGGTTGTCAGTGTCACTCTACCTAGGGCCAGACTGATTGAGCCAACTAGGACTCTCCTGCGAGAAGAAGGGGAAATCCGGCGAGGTAAGGCTTTCATACGGTTTGCAGTGAGTCGCGAGGGGAAGGTCGTAGTTGGAGAAACCCGAATATTCCTTTCCAAGGAAGGCCTTGTGGAGATAGCGCGTAGCTTACGGATTGGGCAAGACCCTCTCTGGGACGCTCGAGCCGTGAGAGGCCGGCTAGGAGAGTTAGTAGAGGAATTGAGGCCTCACGAAGGGTGCGACGAGGAGTATCTAGTGACCTGCGGGGGTTGGGAAGAAATACCACGGTTCCTCTCCAGTGAGCCGGTGGAGGTCCCCCGTTTCATTTTTGAGCGGGTCTACCCCTCCAAAGCTGCTAAGAGGGCAGTAGAAAGAAGGATTTCCATCCTAAGTGAGTTCAGGTTCACAAGATCGGACCTCCATACCTTGTTAACTTGGTGTTTTTGGGATCCCTATAGAGACGATTGGTCGACTCTAGAGGACCTGGGTTACGCCTTTGAAAGGTGGGGTCGGCACGTGAGGGAGTCTAAGATATCGTGGAGATACTTCGGAAAGATCTGCGAGGGAGAGCTAGCGGGGTTCGACCCCTCAAATTTGATTCGGATAGCTATTGTGTGTCGTCGACGGAAGTTAGGAGATGAACGAGCCGGACCTTGAGGGGCTTGTGGGGTTGGATAGAGTGAGGGAAGAGTTTCACCGGATCCTCGCTCTGTGCTGGGAGGAAGAAAGGAGAGCTAGGTCTGGGTCCTTAGCTAGAATCAAGCTACTTGAGACGACCACAATCGCTATCCTCGACGAGGTCACGATAGATCTTCTCACGGGGTGAGGGGATGAGAGCCTCGTTCGTCTCCAATATGATTCGTTGGGAATTAGAGACCTGCGAGGACGTTAGCGAGGTTAGGGTCGAGGGGAGTGCGGAGCTTAACCCAGAATTGGGAGAGGACCGAATGGCCCGCGCCGAGAAGGAGTTTCTAGTAGAGGTCCGACGCCTGGCCTTGTGGAAAAGAAGGAGTTGGACCACACTAGCCAACTTTTCAATCCACATTAGAGACGTAAGTGGAATAAGATCCTCAAGGGCTTGGAGGGAACCTTTGCTAGAGGTAGAGAGAAGATTCAAAGAAGATTCTAGATATCTAGGAACACCGCTGACGTCTAGGACGCACCTTGTGGAGACCCGATTTTGGGATAGGTCGGCAGAGTACAAAGAGGTTTTGCGCCGAACACCGGAAGAGGACGAAGAGACTGGACACACCAGGTGCGAGGACTCACTTGCAGCGGCCGCCGCAAGGTTGGCCGACGTAAGGTGAAGACCCCGGATGATTCGGTACGAGAGGGGGGACCCCGTTGGTACCATAGAAAGAGCTCGGACGTGGGGAGGACGATATGGAGTAACTCTCCCGAGAGTGAGAGGGGAAGGAGAAGTGACTACCGAGTTCTTCGAAATTTACGAGCAGGAGACAGTGGTCAGGTTTTTAGTGGCGTCCGAGGGGAACAATTGTACGAGAAAGGCGGAAATGTTTTTGTCCCCTGACGCCCGGCTAATCTTCGCAACTGAATTGGCGGAAGGGAAAGATCCTCTAGGCATCGCCAAAAGGGCCCTGGAACGAGTAAGGAGATTGAGAGGGGGTGGCCCGGAGGGCCCCGTGATTGATAGGGTAGAGTACCGAGGGAGGACGGATGTTCCAAGGGCAGCCCACGGGAGAACTTGGACTATCCCTACCTGGGCCTATCGACTACTCTATGCGGACGACGAGACCGTGAGAAGAGTCCGATTGAGGGGTCAGGTGATAGAAAAATTCCCACTGGGTGAAGAAGGAGGGCACGAGCTATTCACCCAGTGCTGGGAGTCGAGAGAGGACACCGACTTCGAGTGGTGGGCGCGCGTTGGAGAGTTCATCAAGCCCCTGTTCTCTGGACAAGCTGGTGATGTGGACAGGGACTTGATTAGGAGGTGTGCGCAAGAAGGGATTAGGGGCATCTCGGACCTGGAGATGCGAATCTTGCGTTGGCCGCCAGCGAGGAGAAGAAACTGAGGGATTCTTGGTGGACGGTGACCAGCGAGGAGTCGGAGGGAGAGGGTGCTGACGAGGATTCTAGTGTGGAGAATGGGGGATCGGAGGAAGAAGAGAACTCGGAAGATACCGCAGACAGTAGTGAAGGGGACGAGCCGGAAGGTAACGCGGACGATAGTGAGGGAGGCGACTAGAAATTGTCAATAAGGGTGCATGGAGAGTGAAGTAGAGGCTGGTCTCGCTAGTCCGCCGGAAACCACTGAAAGAAGGGGGATAGTGAATAGCCCCGAGTTGGGGGCCAGTCTAAGTAGGGTAGTGGAAAAAATGACAGAGGGAGCAGAGACGCTAGATAGGGCCGAGGGGGTTCCGGAAATGGCTTCGGGAGAGAGACATGCCTCAAAGGGGCAAAGAGCTGGCACGGAAATGCGAGTGCACAGGGATGTGGGGCCACGGGTGTCGGTAAACGAAGGGGTCACCGAGGCCGCAAGAGGCGTTCCGGTGGAATCCCGGTGGGCGGACCTAATGGATGCGGAAGCAAGGTTGGAGGAAGCACGGGAATTTCCTAGAGATAGACAGGGGTATCGACCACTTAGGAGGGAGGAAGAGGAGTGTCAGGACAGGAGGGACTTAAAAGAAGGAAGGTCAGCTGAAGCCGGCGGTAGGCCACGGAGATGGGTCGAAAGGGGGCCGGAGGCCGTCACCGGTGAAAGGCAGGTCTTAGTGGGGCACAAGTGGTTAACGACCTCCTGAAATTTCAGAATGAAAGATCCTGAAGTCTGTTAGGAGAAGCCTGAAAACACTGGAATGACATGAAGACACTTCATGCCATTTCAGGAGTTACAGCTGGTTTTGGGGTAATATTTTATGTTTTTTTTTTTTTTTTTTTTTGCCTGTTTTTGTTTTGATCAACGTTGTTGTGGGCCACTTCAAGTCATTTCAGGAGTTTCAGGTGGGGAGGCCTGAAACCTCTGAAAAAAACTGAAGTGGTTTAAGCTTCTGAAAGCGGTTTCAGGTCCCCCCATCCAAATGGTTGGATTGATGCATCTCAAACCGCTTTCAGATTTTCAGCAGCTTCATATTATTTCAGAAGTTTCAGATGGGGAGACCTGAAACCTCTGACATGATCTGAAGTGGTTGAAGCTTCTGAAAGTGGTTTCAGGTCCCCCCATCCAAATGGTTGGATGGGGGAATCTGAAACCGCTTTCAAATTTTCAGCCACTTCAGATTATTTCAGGAGTTTCAGATG